TATGACTATAAAGTATTTCCTGATATTATACCTACATTCTTCCATTTCCTAAACTCATAGCAGTTATCATACCTCAAGTCTTTCTAAACAATCTGTCGTTCTTTCAATCCTCCACACATCAAACTGTTTCAAGGTGCTTAACAAACTGTTTCTTACGTGGTACAGCACGTTAGAGTCTGTTCTGATGAAATACCTAAAACTAATTACACAAGTAAGATATTCAGATGATCACCAGAAATGCAGATACAAGCAAGTGAGAGAACTCTACGCCCATTCAACAAGTGAAAAAGAAACTACAGCCTGGGCATCATGTTACTGTACTGCAGAATCACAAGATAATATTGGGAACCACATCCCACAACTGTGGGCCGTTGGTATTCAAAGTGAAATTCAAATTCAAAACCTCTTAGGCAGATTTTATTGGGGCAGACACAGGAGAAGCTGCAATATAGTGTATTTAAAATTCCAAAGGAAAATATATGAAGTTAATTATTTTGTTACAAGTTAGCTCTTTAGGCCTTTTTTTTTTTTTCATTATGGTGACACAGTTGTTTCACTCCAAACCATACTGGTTTCAACCTTAACATCACTTTGTTAGTCACTCACTTTTTATCGTACTTAGCAGAGAACACTAACACCCCTTTTAGAATGAAGTATCTGGATTTTTCAGTTCTAGCCAATTTGGAGTGTAAACAAACTCAACAAGGTTTCTGACATGCAAAAAAACCTCTGCCTAAATAAAGAAAAATTGTTTAGAAGACTAGGTATTTGTAAACCTCAAAAGAGGCAGGCCAGAGCTGAGTATAAACAATTTTACTGGAAAACCCACCTGTAGCATGGAACAAACTGGGGTAAGGGGGGACACTAAAAGCAGAACCTGGATCTCAGCCTTAGCCCAGGGCTTCCCAGCTGTTCTACATATAGTGATGTCAGACCATATGGCTTTGTCCCAGCAGAAGACCTCACCTGTGCCTTGCTGCAGATCAGTACAGAGCTTACCACATGGAAAGCCATGGGATGAGAGTGGTGAAAGTGGCAGGGAGAGCTGATTGCTCTGCACTGAGCAGAGGGGAACATTAGCAGCAACAAAGGATGGACCCTCTCCTCAGTACAGCAAGTTCTCACTGCCTCCACTTCTCTTGAGTTGTTTTCTTCAAACACATCTGCCCTTGTTCGCCATTTGGAACAAAGATCTCACTTTGTACCACTTTAACTATTTTGTTTTGAACATGGCAGGGCAGTCAGCGGTGAGCTGCGGTGGGCATCCACCCAGCTTCCAGATGGAGCATTATTTAGCTTCTGTCATTGCATCCCTCAGCAAGGCAAGAAGTGAGGCAAGGACAGAAGCTGCTTCACATGCCACCATCATCCTGAATGAGCTTCACAAACCCTGGCTCCCCTGTGTGCAAAGCACAAGTTACATGTAAGCACCAGAAAGTGCATTTTAAGTGGTCAAAATGGATTGGTGACCTTGTCTTGCAGTTTAGGTCCCTGCCCCAAGAAGCTGGTGAGATGCTAGGTGGTTTGGCCATCAGAGCTGTCCCTCCAGCCCCAGCACACAATTGGGCAGGACCCCATAGGAGCAGAGCATCGTTATGACTGATCCTGATTAGCAGCTGATGGCATGGCTGTTGAAATTGGCATGTTATTGGAAAACAGCATCCTGGCTTATACCCACATCCCAGGGACAGGACTCCAGGAAAGACCAGAGGGTGGGCAAGCAAGCGAGTCCTGCCTGCCCTGTCCCTACCATAGGAAAAGAGCACAGTCCCACTGCTGCAAATCCATTTAATTGAGTCAATCGGAATATGTGAGCTATTGCCAGAAAGTCAGTCAAGGAGCGTAGCACAGGCTCTGTGCACATCTAGATTTACTGCTTTCAGGGAGGTCAAGGGAAGGGGAGAAATCTGGTGAAGAACAAAGTTCCCGCATCACATCTCCATTAACAAACTTTTCCGCAACACAAACATCACATCTCCTCACTCTAAACAAGTGGGGGTTGACTCTCTAGACAGCATTTAATCAGAATGAGATGGTAGTTGGGACTTCTAAAAAGAATTGCAACCATCATGGGTTTGGGAAGAGCTAACACCACAAGACATCTGGCAGGGGAGAGAAAAGCAAGCACAGTATCACTCTAGGACACCTTCAAGAATCACCGTTTCCCCTAGAAGACTCTGCCCCTAAAACAAACCTGTTTTCCTCTCACCCAGCCATAGCCATCTTCTTTTAGCAACTTGAAACACATCATGTTTTTTTTTACAGGAGATATAAGATCTTGAGATGAGCCTGTTATTTACAACAGTGGCAGCCCCTCTATTTATAACGTATGCACACTTGTAAGATGTTTTCAATTACTTCTGTCTCCCTGTCACACAGAGATGCTGCTTAAATAGGAAATTGTGTTATCATATATCTTTGAAGATTTCGAAGGCTAGATCATTTTGCATTTTCTACCCTACTGAGCTAGGAAATTAACAGTAAAACTTTACCCTGCCCTCTAGGAAGCCTGATTTAGTCAAAGACATGATCTCAGGTAGTAACTACAGAATCAGCTATTTATTTAATTTAAATAAAACCATTCTTCCAGCAGACAGTGAAAGGAAGAAATTATATGTCATGCTAAGATTCCTGAGCCAATATTTCTCCCCTACATCCACTCCTGGGTTACTTTCTGTGGGTGTTGAAGTGCACTGCTGATCTGTGTTAAATAAGATGCAGTAGAATGGAAAACAACTAATTTGTGCTTCCTGGTGTTGGGCAACTAAGTTAACTCTTGCTGGTACATGGACTATAAATAGAAAAAGATGATACGGTTTCACACTGACAACATTTCTATGAAAGTTAATAATTCAACAACAAGGAAACATTTTTTTTTTTTCCTACCTATCTGTCCTATCAGGATTGATGAACAGGAATTGTATTGCTTTTAATCCAAAGAAAGCGGATGATGTTAGGTGTCTTCTCCTGTGATGACTTACCTGAGGGCTAACACCCCTTATCCCTCATTCACCACAATCCAGGACGAAGCATTATCCATTTGGAATTAAAGACAAACCAAACCAGTTGTGACTGCTGGGCTGGACAGCTGTGAATGTCATAGGAACTACGTCAGTGATGACCAACAGGAAGTGTTCATTCTCTTGCTCTCCCATGGAGATGGAGGGAAAAGAGACAACTACTTAAGATAAGCTATCTAACTTGTTGGCAAGAACAGAAATGATAGGTCCTATTTTTTCATCAGGTGACAAGCTCAGCTTGTCTCTGCACTAATTTGTACAAGCAGAATGCTTCCCATGGGTAATTTTCGTACTCATCAGAAACATTCTTGTAACATGCACAAGTTGGTCACATCATTCTAATCCTAACATTATAGAGGATTACTATCTTCAACCAAATGGACTGGAATAAAGTCTATGTACCAAATACTTCCATGCCATTCTGTTACTTGGGGCATAGTTTTGGTTTTTATGGGCTTAACGTACAAATATAATATAAAAATACACTATAATACACACATTATTTTTTGGGGGGTTTGGTTTTTTTTAAGATGGATGAAGAGACAGATGTAGCTTTCTGGGTCTGAAGTTACTAATGTTTCTTCCACAGTTTTTGAGCAGAAAACAATTTACTCAGATTCCAAAGTTTGGAGTATTTCCCTTGTAGAGAATTCTAAATTGTGTGAACCTGTATGCATCCACTGTGTTCAAGGTAATTCTATACCTACAGATGTTACTTTTCACAGATTTACACCTGAAATTCCTAGAAAGCAACATTTCTTGCAGAGATGTAGCTTAGACTTAGATCAGGTATTTCTGTCCCTAAGAATAACCAAAGACAAAAAGGTTACAACACCAGATAAAAGGAAAAGCTTTCCAAAGGCATAAATGTAAGGTAAAAACACAAAGCAGAAGAGTTTAACTACCCTCAAAGTTCACTAGGAAATAAACAGAAAGGAGCAACTAGTCCAGCAGTAAAACAGGATACAAGCGTATGTTTGGGGACCTTGGAAAAGTTATAACTCCCTGGACACATTAGTCTTCAGTTCAATTACCCCATATAAATGGGGAAAAAGAAAATCCTTATGGTTTTTAACTATTTTCATCTTATTTATTTTAATTAATTTCAAATTAACACAAATACTGAAAGATTTTGGAGCTTGCAGCACCTTGTGTCCTCTAATGCTTCATATCATGGTCCCGCCTGTCTGTACCCCTCCCGGGCTGATACTATTTGCTTTGATATTGACACAGTTCAGCCTTAATCCAGTCTTCAAAGGAAAAATGGGCATGAAAATCCCTCATCTCCCTTTCCGCTCTGAGCCCAGGGCACGCACACATTTCCCAAGGACTGCACAATCCAGTGGGTATTATTTTGTACTTAATAAAATTAACAATCGTTACAGAAAACAGGATTTGAAATGACATTTCTGCCACAGGATCCTTCCAAGTCTGGTAGATGAGACAGTAGCTATGATATCGGTTGTGGTCCCTTTCATATCACTGGCATCATTTGATTAATTTTCTAAACTAAGTTTATTACACTGCATATTAAGAGGAAGAAAAAAAGCAGATGAGAAAGACTATGTTGCTCATCTTAGAAAATCTTGGTTCTAAACTGTTCTGCCTGGCTCCAAGGTACTTACCAAACATGGTTTACTGTGATTATTTAGTGAATTCATCTTATAAGAAAGGACATTCTAAGTAAAAACAAAATACAAAAATGCCTCTGGTTCATTCTTAATGTGATTTTCTCTGCAGCAGGGAAACCAGCTCCTTCTATATGCACATTCAGCATCTATTCATCTATTATTGATAATATTTTTTAAAATTACACGGGGAAATCAAGACACCAAACCTACAACTCAGTGGCACAGAAGAGATTAGTGAGCACTGCATAGATTACATTAGTCCTAAATTAGACGCAAACTCCAGTCTGGACAATTCTGGAATACATCTATTTAATATTCCCCCGGAAAGAAGGCCACATTTTGGACTTACGGTTGGTTGTCCTGCTTTGATCACTCTGAGCACTGTCATTCGACTGGTTGCTGGAGACAGAGGATACACTTGAGCTCCTGACAAAACCAAATGCAGCCAGCTTAGCTGCTGGCAACCGTGAATAACCTGGAGGACGAAGTCCAGACTGGCACGGCTTGGGGAGATTTGACTTTGCAGCACTTGGACATGAGCCTTTCTTAAGATCAACTGAAAGAAGAAAAAAGAAAGAAATTTTTATTAAGGAAGCTAAACCGAGACATGCTGAATATTACCTGTACCACTCAGCTACATAAAGTCCCTATAAAGACTGAATACAAAGTTTAACAGCTGTTCAAACTACAGCGATGTCTTATTCTTTGCTCCACTAAAAAGTTCTGCGCCACAATTACAGGTCACAAACATTTTTAAAATGTGAAATGCAGCAAGGACCCATGAGGCATAACTCAAACTTCCAGCAAAGTAACATAGTTCAAGTGTGCTAAAATTTTCTTTTATGCTATCTTCTTTTATGCTGTGTCACTTTCTAATTTTACATTTGTTATGTGCCAATTAAAAGAAACTCAGAGACAAACACGCTACACGTAGTCTCCAATTTTGGAAGCTATTGTAGAACACCAACAATCCTTCTCAAGGACAGAGGACTTCTTTGTATTCCATCAAAGAAAACATTTCTTTGAAGACTTTTTTTCAAATTTTGCTAAAACAAAATGCCCTTCTCTTGCACCAAGCTTGCAAACAAGGACATGCCTGTAAAGTTGTACTCTTCTAACATTCTACTAGCCACTTCCATTGATGGAGCCCATCTCACTATAAACCCTAAGCCTCTGTGAACGACATTAACCAGGTCTCAGACAACTACCAAAAGGGGGCTTATAATGGATGAATTTATGCAACCACAGTAGTTCAGCTGTCATGTCCATCTGTACTTACTACTAACTGGTCATCTGTCTCCAGCTTGTGTCCTAACCCATATTCTGCTGCTCTTGCTTAGGTGAACTTTCCAAGGCAAATCGAGAACACAGGTCCATAGGTAACCCAAAGCTGTCTTCATAGAAAGACCACAGCTTAGTTTGCTTTTGCTTGGAAGCTCTGGATACCAACTGGATCTGGACCTTAACTACAGCTTGGACAGTTTTTCTTTGTACTTGATTCCTGTTCCTTGTGGAGTCCTGAGCAGCAAAAATATAAACACTTCCCACCCCCCATCCCCCCAAAAACTAAATTTCTACAAATGCTGAGTGTTTAAGCAGCCATCAGGACTAGTGGATTAGGAGACAAGTCAACATTAAAACTATCAACATCTTCTGCCAGAAAAGGCCACAAAGTCACCCTTTTTCCATTTTCATTTGGTGAATGCTATTTGTGCATTAGCTTGACACATACTTCAAAGGAAGAAGTGAACATTCATAATATAAAAGAAAAACAGAAGTTAAATGCACAATAAGAATATGGTCTTCATATTATTACAGCATTTAATTCTTTTGTAAGCTATGTAGGTCACAGCCTTATTAATTTTAATGAAGCATTACACTTTGAGGAGACTTTATAGAAAACAAGACTAATTCCTTTGAGCAGAAAAATGTTATGGGGATTTTGAAAGATAGTTGTGTACCTCATCACAATAATAATACTAAGCTTTGTTTAACAAAACTAAGCCTTTTCTTTTGAAACAGAAATATGTGTAACACCAAGCTAAAAGGAGTTTTGTTATCCTATAAAACACATTCCTACAAAAGACATTAAAAAATGCTCCTTGCTCAATGAATAAAGTAAGTTATATACTATGGACTCTTAAAAATCCATTTTTTGCATCCACTTTTCACAAGTTGAGGCCTTTATTAAGACACAGGGAGATGGTCATCTGACCGCAGCACCTTTACCAGCCCAGAGGAGAACATGCTGCAGAGAGTAACCCAAATGAAAATAACAAATATCTGCAGTGCATAATAAAGGAGTATTAAAATCCCCATTCACTTTTTTGGGCATCAACAGGGACCATTTTGGACTCTGATCCTTCATTTGAACTTTGTGAAGCTGGGTTCAGAGGTAGCTGTGGGCTGCAGGTGCCAGTGAAGAGCACTGCACGCACATTAGCATGGAGAACAGATTAACTGTGATGTTTACCACCACTGTTTACTGCTAGGCTTGTGCAGCATTGCTTTGAGAGTTGTCTATTACAGCTGGTTTATGGTTATCTGCAAAGCACCATCAAGCCAGATTTCTTCCCTCCCCACTTCTGGGGACATAAATGACTCCACAGCAAAGTACTACAGACCCTGATCTCAATGCTTCCCTCAATGTTATCAATGCAGCTTACAATTAGTGTGAATCACATTAACTGATTTTTCATGTAGGAACAGGAAAAAGGCTTTAAGAGTCCCAAATGCTAGAAATGACAGGCTGATCATCGTTTGGACAGAATCTCTCTCTTTGAGAGGACTAGTATCTTCCTGCATTAACAACTGCTGCACGAAAGGACTCAGATTGGTTTATGCCAGTGTGAGACCACACTTTTGCTATGGAAGGATGATCCTGTGCTTTCTCCCTTCCACAAACAGACTTGTCATGCTCCCACCAATGCTGACACAAAGACTTCCGCAGATTTTTGGGTGGGCCAGACCATCTTGCTTACTCTGCAGAATCACGTGCCTGCTGTCTGGGCACGGCCAAACATCAGGTTCACTAGCTATCTAAAGGACACAGGGGCAACTGTGTGCCATAAAAGGCACAAAACTCAGTCGCAGTGTGCAAAATAGTCCCTATCTTGCACTGGTGGTAGGGCCAAGTCCAGGTAGCCTCCAGATCTGAAGCAGAGGCAAGTACCTGTGGCAAGTGACAGCAAGAGCAAGGAACCTGGCCAGGTCAGTGACAGCAGGGAGAAGGTCTAGGACTGGCTCTTGTGGGTTTTACAGGCTTCTGAAAAAAGCACCATCAGTCCTGCACTACAGAAGCTGAGAGTCTAGATTCCTTCTTCCTGAGAACCTCTGCAAATTGAAGTGGAGGGAGAAATATTTCAATTTTACAGCAAAAAGCTATAAATATCACAGATTTCCTGAAGCAGAATAGGGAATATTCCACTGGGGCGGTGGGGGAAGAGGGAGGGAAGTGGTTAGAAATGGTTTTATTTAAAAAGCATTTGAAATGCGCTTGCCCTAGGATGGTGAGGTTCACCTGGGACTCCCATGTCCCCAGTTCCACCGCAGGGATGCCCACACCGAGTCTCCAGGCTGTCTGTTCTCTGCACTGCTGTGCAACCAAGCACCTGCAGTCTGTGGCACACCACGGGTGTCACTGAAGAAGAATTTCTTTAAAACCAGGAGGTTTTTGGTGACAAATTGCTGCCCAGTCACCTCTACCTTTTATTCAAAATCATTCTCCCAGACCCTGCCACAAGATTCAGTGGTTTTTCTCACACTTTCATGCATGTTTTGGTTTACGACTTCAATTCAAATTCCGCCTGAACTAACAATATTTTGTATCTTGAACTCATTATTGCCCTTAAATTATTTTTCACTTCTCTTCTTTGTAATCCACCTCTTTACCATGGGGACCTGGGGGCAGGACATTAGCCTCATTAGGGATGTATTCAAATCTTTAAGTCATTTGGTGTCTTCTTTCTCATTAAAATACATGAAACATCAGACTATTGTATGTATTTTCTGTTCTAAATAGCATCAAGTTTTATGGTGGATGTTCTTTCGTTATTTCTGTTTCTTAGAAGTATAGAAGCAGTCCTGCAAACAAGGTCTGGGAGTTCAAAACAAAAGTTATTTTAATGAGAAGCTTTCATTTTAATAAAAATGTGCCAAAATAAACCTAAAAAATTGGCAAAAAACATTTCCAGCTGTCTCAGTGCCTGAAGCTAATTATAGAAATAAGTACTGTTGTCTGTACAGCACACGAGTGATTTTCTATGACACCTCAAGCTGTTCCCATCTAGAAACATGAAAACTTTTTGAGGTAGGGACTGATTGACACAAACCGGATGTGCCTGGGGAGCCACAAGAAAAGTCTGAGCTAGACTTCTTATGCATTCCCACCACACATGAATCGCATCTCCATGCACACGTATAACTAAAGAGGAACTTTCATGTGACTTCTCTGTGAAATCTGAAATAGGTTTTCACTAAAATGAATGAAAAGCTAAAGTAACAAGTTACATAGAAGTGTTCTTTTGAAAAAGAGTAGCGCTTCGAGACTTCAGCTGCGCTTCAGATCCTCTTCAGGGATCCTTGGCAAGCCTTTGTTTACTTGTGGTGGGTTTGAGGTTTTTTTTGACAAGCATTTCCCTTAAAACATTAATCATTAGGTATCATTTTTCTCAGAGAGCTCATTTTCTTTTATTGGGTACTCTGACCATCATTATTCTCATTTCATATTGGGGAATCTGGGGCAAAGAAGTTACCTGTGAGATTACGGAATTAGTCAGAGATAATAAAAACAGAGTTAACCCACTTCAGACTTAACCCAAACTTTGATATTTTTTGAGATTAAAAACAAATCATGCAAGTAAGAAACTTATTCTATTGCCTCTACCTCTGTGGCCTTCCTGTGATAGACATAATGACTACTCTCTGGACAAGAACTGAGGAAAGGGGCTTTAAAATAGAGGCTTTAATGATTTATATCTAAACAGCAGTGAGCAGGTTGTGCCCAGCTCCCTTGACAGTCTCTCATCCTAATACTGTCAAGCCTGGGACAGTTCAATTCCAAAGGCAAAACAGTTGTCATTGCTGAACGTCAATTAATTTCTGATCAGCCAGTGCACCATCATATGGTAGGAAATGCTCATACCTCTTCCTGCTTTAAAGGCACAAAGAAGCTGCTCTGTGCTGCTCCAGCTCCCAGGCAACCCAAGGCTGGTTAGCTCTTTCTTGCCACCCCAAGAATTTGTCAGCTTGTGCTTCACTCAAACTGCAAATGTTTGTGTTCACTTTGTAGCTGATGCAGCAGCATCCCACTGAACCATCCAGCATATTTTCCACTGAAAGCTCAGAAAGCTCTGTGCACTGGACCCACATCTCACCCCCACAGCTGCTGCTCATCAGATCGGCTGCTCAGAAGCCCTGTGGGTGCCCAACAGTGATGATGCTTTGCTCTTGCCAGGGAGGAGCTAGGGTATGAAGTGTTTGCCTGCTGCTGCACCCAGACTGTTATTGACACCATTCTTACAAATGATCATTTGGTACAACAGTCATCTAGGCAAT